ACTTGTTTTTCCACATATCCTTAAAATATTTAGGGTACGTGAGACTGTAAATTGCCAGACTTCCATAGAGCAGGGTGTATTTGACCCTGAGGGTTCTGCACCCAGTCTAACATTCTACCCACATGTGCAGGAGAGAGGCAAACCTAGTGAATGATGTAGGTACGGATAGATAGATAGATAGATAGATAGATAGATAGATAGAGAGATAGATAGATAGATAGATAGATAGACAGATAGATAGATAGATAGATAGATAGATAGATAATATCGATACTTAGTTTGCAAGGTATATAATTTCTAGCTGAACTCTCCCAATGTAGTCCAATTAATTGAATGTTGTACAGTATATCAAATTAGAAACACTTGGATAAAATCTGAGGCCAGCCATGACTTCCCTTAGCTTAGTGTGAATGGTATATAATTTCTAGCTAAACTCTCCCAGTGTAGTCCAATGAATTGAATGTTGTATATCAGATTAGAAACACTTGGATGAAATCTGAGGCCAGCCATGACTTCCCTTAGTTTCCATAAGAAAGATCCTTTCTCTCAACTTCTCTTTGCTGTTTCCTGTTTAATGACTTACCTAACATTACTGCTCTGAGACTGTAAAGACTGGCAGTGCTTTCTCTCCAGGTTTCTACAGGAATGTCAGGCAGATGCACCAAATAAGAACAGAGCTTGTCTAAGCCAGAGGTGGGCAACATTCAGGGGTTATAGCTGTCCCCCACGCCAATTTTTCTGAAGATAACTTTTTTCAAAATTAGAAATGACCAGGGGCCTTGCTTCTTTTGACCTCGCACACATCCCACCTTGTTCCTGTTCTGTATATTGTTATTATTTTTTTCATTTATTTTGTCTCTCAGAGAGTGCTAGGAGGTGCTCACGAGAAGAGACCTTGGAAGCTAAGTAAACTCAGGGCTAATCTTAGAGCAGTGCAACAGCAAGTCCATTCCAGAGTCTGTGGCAAGAGAGAATAACAAGAAATAAGCACTTGCAGTGCAAAAACTAAGAGAGTGATAGGTTTTAATGCACTAAATAAAAAGGCATCACATTTGTGGATTCAGGATGGAGTAAACCCAAAGAGACAGTTAGCTTCACTAACAAAAAGGAATGAAAAGGAATTTCTCAGCTATTTGAATGAATAAAAACTACCTGAGCAGTAGAAAAGGCATACAAGTAGAGGCAACTGGACAGATGTATACAGAATGAAAGATTTCACAAGGGATACCCAGAGGGTGCTTTATCTATGATCTGTCTTGGAATGGAGATGTTTTTTATAAGGTGACTGTTTCCCATCAAGACTCCAGACTGACCAGTTTGTAGTTTTCTACATGGGCTTTCTGATCTATGGTTAGACAGGCATTTGCAAATTTTCAGAATCCCTATAGGAGCTCTTCCTTTTCATTTATTAAGAGGGCACACACAGCAATTAAGAACTAGCACAGAGAGAGAGAGAGAGAGAGCATCTGGGGCACTTATACATTACTGTTTTCAAGCCCGTGAACTTATCTTATTGATTGTATACATATATAATTTTTGATTCAAAAAATGCCAAAGTTAGTTTGCCGTTTTCTGTATTAAAACTGATGAATACATTCAGGTAACAAAACAATAAATACAGTGATGCTTAATTGCTATACACCTTAAAGGTTTCTCTATTTAATTAATAGATAGTTAATTACTATATAACCTCTGAAAGTTACCCTGTTTCCCCGAAAATAAGACCTAACCTGAAAATAAGCCCTAGTATGATTTTTCAAGATGCTCGCAATATAAGGCCTACCCCAAAAATAAGCCCCAGTTAAGTGAAACCCCGTCCTCCACCATTGTGCAGCAACCAGAAGAAGGGGATAAGACAATATTTGAATATATGTAGATTGTTGTACATGAAGAAAATAAAACATCCCCTGAAAATAATCCCTAATGCATTTTTGGAGCAAAAATTAATATAACATTAATTTTTGGGGAAACACAGTATATAGTAATTAAAGAAAAGTCTTAAAAAGATATAGCAGAATTTGGAAGTAATTTTTTTAAATGATGCTACCTGAACTGGTTGCTTTTTGGGCAAACAGGCCTAGAATAGTTTTACAAAGCAATGTACAGACTGCTAGTGTTACTTTCTTTGTGTGAATGTGAAAGAATATTTACTTGCTCCTTCCAAAATATTGTTTTGGAGCTCTTTTTATTTTATTAATATATTTGTGTTAGCAAAAACTCATAGAATAAAAATAAACAATGAGTAATTTGGTACTTGTTCAAGAGTAGGGTGTGTGTGCGTGTGTGCGCGCTCCAAGATCTGACCTGATGTCATCATGGCTGAACTTGTCTATAAGCAAAGAAGGTCAGATCAGAGGGTTGGTTACCAAACCGCTTTATTCAATACAATGTCTTTCAGTTAACACTATAACTACACATTTCTACTCCTCCATAAGTGTATATTGGAATAGTGTTGCTTGTTTGTCATTGTAGATGGCCCAGGCATCTTGAAGTCTGGCTAGTGACTGTGCAGATGGTAAGGAGATCAGAAAAATTAGATGTCTTCTCTTATTTTTACCCATAATCACCTGCACCGAGATCTGTTCAAGCCATTATCAGTTTCCAGCATCTACGACAGCATTTTTTGAAAGCAATGTAGTCTCTAACTTTCTCAAGAGCTTTTTTCCAAATCTAGAAATCTCACCCCTTAATCTCCACCAGAAATGAGATATTTCTGTAATTTGGTGAAAACTGTAGCTATAATCACTATGGTATAAGAGTATTCTCTGTGTCAAGGATTGTTTAGTTTCATCCACAGAGTTGTTGTTGTTTAGCACAAAATGGTAATTGGAAGACTTAAATTATGTGTGTGCTTGCCAATAAAAGGCATCGGTTTGCCTTCATTCTCTGTTTTCCTTGGGAATTACACCAAAGTGCTATTTACAAGCAGAAGATTAAACCATGGCTCTTTGAAGAGTATTTCTGAGAACAATGTTTTTATTGAAGGCTATAACTAAATACTCATTCTGACAAGGCTGAGTGGTTTACTGTTTGGTGGCCTTCTGGAAGATGTGTTTTGTGTAAGTTGGTAAAAGCCTTGATTTAGGCACCAGACAGCTGGAAGATTCGCCATAGATTTTTTGTTTTTTGTTTGGGTTGTTTTTGGTTTTTTTTTGGCACAATCTTTGTGACTCATCACATTTTATAAATGAGTAGGGGGGCTATTTTCATAGTTATGGATTCAATGCCCTGAAGTGTTCTGAGGCTACTGATTTAGCGCTGGTACATCAAGGAATGAAACACTTTCCAAAAGATCTTCTCATGTGGCATATTGACAATGTATTTGGCTTTATTGAGAGGCATATGGGATAGCAATATAATAAAATATATACACATGAAGCAAGGTCCTTATGCTTGTCATTGTGAGGAAATTGTCCTCTGTGGCTGAATTAAATATTTGGCAAAAATGCCAGGTAAATCATAACATTTCTTTGTAAAGCAGATGAAATCTGAAGGCTTCCAATCAGCTGTACTTGTTCTAAGAAATACAATGCAGAAGATAATATTTGTTGTACACGCATAAACATATTCAAGATTTTAGCTGGTATCCTGTCCAATCCAAATGCCATATAAGCCTCTGACATACTGGCAGATTTTTCTTGAGTAAAAATATTTTTTCTGTCCTCTTCAGTTATACAAGTAACTTCAAAAATTGAGATCCTAAGTAAAATATCAGCAGTCCATTCCCAGATGAGAGGCTTAGTTGCAAAGTTCCTATTGTATTTTTAACCTGCTGTATTTCTCTCATAAACTACTTCTGTAATTTCTATATTGTAATTATAATAGTGGCTGAAATGTACAGTAGTTGTAAATCACAACTAGAATAGGCCCATTGAATGAATGGAACTTATATAGCTGATGGTTCACTTGGTGCCCACTGATTCAGTGGGCCTACTCTAGTTGTTACTTTCTACAGGATTTCTGTCAGAGGGTTTAAACTACAGTGTTTTAATTCATATCCAAATTTGCTTCTAAGTAGGTTCCATAGTATGACTCATATTCCGATCACTATATAGGCATAGGCATCCTTCAGTCTCGAGAGACTATGGTAACATGCTCTGCATCGAGGAGTGTCCTCTCCAGAGCATGAAGCCCGGGTAAGGTAATATGGAGGATAGGCTGTTACCCAAGCAGCAGATCCCCCCTCTCCACATTGCTGAAATGGTCCAATGGAAAGGCAAGAGCCAATACAACTGGTTCCAGCAATGTCGCAGGAGTTGGCAGAACGACACATGCTGCCTTCGGGACTCCAGCTCCGGATTTTGCCTCGAGGTTAACTCCTGAAGCCTTTTCCATGAGTGGATATAGCCACAAGGCAGTGGAGGTTTGAAATTGGAGTTTTCCTTCTCCTAGATGGGCTGCCTTCCATGGCTGATGAGCCCCACCTACCCGGGGATCACTATATATACACAATATTATTGGCATATATTAAAAAGTGAGAGCACTAATACCTCAGTCAGGATTTTTCTGGATCTGTTTATGGGATCCGGTTAATAATTTATACACACACATGCATTTATAACATTGAATAACATTCAAGCAAAATGTTTCATCTTCTACCATCCTCAGTTGCTCTGGTAAAAGTCTTACGTAAATATGTTAGATTCACTGTAACTGGGCTTTTAAAAGAAAGATAAAGATTTGAGAGATTAAAAAAATCATTGTCATTTTTTTGGAGTACCCATATAATGAACAGAGCATCGTACTATTTCTAGTTAATGAGATTCTGTGTTATTGAAATATCCAAACGAATTACCCAGGAAACCTGTTGAATCTTCAGTTGTACATCTTGTGTTGAAGAAGGTGCAACTCCTTCCTAGACATTTTCCATCTGTGGGTTGCATCTCTAGAGATGATGTTGTAAGCAGGATTTTGCTTAAATAAATGTGTTTGTTAGTCACTGTTATTTGTCATGATTGATAAATATACAGCATTTAACTTCTGGTTCTGGTATTTCAAAGGTACATGACTGATGGTGGATTGGGTCTTTATACCCGAAGATTAAACAGACTTCCGGATGGAATGGCTGCCGTGCGGGAAACTCTGCAACGCAACACCTCACTGGGTCTGGGTGATGCTGACAGGTAGGCCCATCTGTCTTCTGTCTTTTGTGCAGTTTTCATTCTGTCTTATTTCCGACACAGGTAGTGGAATCCTAGTGCCACCACGCATTGTGATAATTTGGGCTAGGATCTGTTGCTGATAATTGATTCAGGATATTTATACCAAGTGAGATTTGTCTATTTTATATGACAACAGAACTGCAAATCTAGATTCGTAGCCCACTAATGGCAAAACACAAAGCAACGTACCTAAAGTCACAATTGTTTCTTCCCTGGAAAGGTTAGATGGTAATACAGTACAGCCGACCTGTGTTCCCTCAACTTTCCTAATATAGCAGAATAATTTGAACATGAGAACTATGAAGAAAATACCTGTAAACAAATCAATAAATGTCAGATTTAGATTTCCATACTGTAAATTCCATCTTTTCTAGGGTAGATACAGACAAAGTGAAATCCCCAGCTCCATAGAACAGAAAACTAGCACTTTGGTTCTAAGTAGAAGGCTCTATTTATCCTTCTTAAGTTACAGTACTTAAAGGTAAAGGTTCCCCTTGACAATTTTTGTCCAGTCGTGTTCGACTCTAGGGGGCGGTGCTCATCCCCGTTTCCAAGCCATAGAGCCAGCGTTTATCTGAAGACAATCTTCCACGGTCACGTGGCCAGTGTGACTTAGACATGGGACACTGTTACCTTCCCACCGAGGTTGTCCCTATTTATCTACTCGCATTTACATGCTTTCGAACCACTAGGTTGGCGGGAGCTGGGACTAGTGACGGGCACTCACTCCGTCGCGTGGATTCGATCTTACAGCTGCAGATCTATAGACCTTGCAGCACAGAGGCTTCTGCGGTTTAACTCGCAGCGGCACCACGTCCCTTGGGTAGTGGCTGGAGCCTATGTATTTTGTGCCATTTTAAGGTGGATTTAAACAAAACCCTAACAACAACAGATTTAAACAAAACCCCAACAACTTAGGTTAACCAAAATCTGTTGGGGTTTCGTTTAAATCCACCCTAAAATGGCACAAAATACAGAGGCCTCAGTCACTACCCAAGTATTGTTAAAGTATTTTCTCTGGTCACTTACTTGAGTTCCAAGTCACTGTCTATCTTGCTCTCAATTCATTGCGAAGTTCAGGTGTAACTGTGAATTTAGCATAGAAGACCTAGAGTTTTTTTTTTTCTGTGACAACAATAGACCACCTACTGTACCACAGAATCCTTTCTTAAGCTTTCCCTGTTCCTTCACCCCTTACAGCAGACTCTTTAACTGGAGTTAACATGAGCCTGTTATAAGCCTGCTGGCCAGTCTTATCTCTGTTGCTTCCTAGGCATGAGGGAAGATTGTATCAACCATTAAGACTCCCTTATAGTTGAGCTGCAGACCTAATTTATAAACAAGTCCTGCAGTTCCTTCCAGCTTCCAAAGAATAAATTTTGCAGCTTTCTTACAGTTGACGGAAGGAACAAAAATAAATGATATCAATGCAAAAACAAATGCACACCAATGATTTAAACAATCACTTAAGACTCAAATTAACATCCATTCTGCTTCATTCATAACTGTGTAAAACATGAGGTTTTATCGTTGCTGGGAAAAGGACTAATTATGTCACAATTACATACTGAGATTTAAGTATCATCTAACATTCAAATATACCATTATGTCTTTTTATGAAAAATTAAAACTTCAGGCTGCCAGGAATTTTTGCAAGCCATACAGATGGTTTCAGGGCAGGGACCCTTCTGGTATTTACAGAAATTAGAGTACAAGGCCTCTTGTTTTCCGGGGGCCTGTGGCAAGTTAACTCCATTCCCTCCTCCTTCTGTTTTTATGTGTTACTGAGTTGAATGCTTTGCACAGGATTGCAAAAAAACAACATGTGACAAGCCCTGCTGCTTCCAGGCTTTTCCTGAGAAATTTTTTATGAAAAAGACCTAGAGCAAGGTATCTCTTATCTTCTGCTCTGCTCTACTTCTAAGATTCCCATCAACTGCCTGTCACACATTGTGGGTGCCTCTCAAAGGATGATTATCTGTTGACTATGCAGTTGCTCAAAACCTTCCTTCTCAGCTGCTGTGCTACAATTTGCCCACGTTAGAGCTGAAAAAGAAGTAGCTTCTGCGCAGTGGAAAAGCACTATGCAACACAGCAGAACTATCATAGGATTCACTTTTAATTTTTCTTTTCTTTTGTGACTGAGCAATTCTTATCTTGGTAGCTCATTGCAGACAGTGCATCCAAAAAACACTCACAGATTTCAGCTTATCACAGACCTCAATTCATACTGGAGTCCACCTGTGCTGGATGATCCCCTCTCAGCACAGTACCTTTTCAGCTTACTCCAATGCAACCACTCATTTTAGCCGCCCCTGAGGCCAGCCCTCTTAAGCTTTGGTGTGTTTGTTTTGATGGACAGCCTTTCTTCATAGTTGCAGGACTAAGAAAGTTTTCTCCAACTGGACTGTACAGAGCTTGGAACCTATGATCTTCCACTTGCAAAGTATGTGCTGTACAGCCTTATATAAAGTTCAAGTGCTGTGACACACAGCTTTCCAGCATGTGAGTTTTCTCCCATTTTGTAAAGTATATTTATTTCCCCTATAAATCTATTCCGGTTTGCGAGTGTTGTGTTATATTACCCGGGACAAGAGCCATTTTCCTCCTCTAAGTGAGTGAAACGCTCATGCCAGGGACTGGTGCATTCCCAATTATATAAACTCCCCCACCCCCCAAAAAAATCCAAAGTCTACAGGCACAAGTGGTGGAAAGGAAGAGGATACCTCCCAAAATGGGGGGGGGGGCAGTGGGGAGTGGAAGAAGGTAAATGTTTGCTCTGGTAAAATGGTTATTCACATTACTGGTACATCTAGTTAAAGATTTGTGTAGAGTTCTTACACTTGGAATGTAAGCAGACAGGAAAGCTTATTATCTACAGCTTGTAATTCAAATAAGAAAGGAGAAGAAGACAATACAACCTTGAAGTCTAGATCCTTGATGTTGATTCAGCTTCACAGTGCACACATATCCTCAGATAAGAGGATTTGTTATATTTATGGTTGGAGCTGTTTTAGTTAGAAATCAAAAAATAATTCTGTTTTGATCTAAACCAGAGAGGTATTTACAGAATTTGCAGTTTTGAACAGTATAAAACTATGTTTTGAATTAATAAGATTTAATGCAGCCTAGTAAATTTGTGGCAGTTTCCCCCCCAGGACCCTGAAAGGGCTGTATAGACTGTCAAAAATTGGGAGGGGGCAGAATGACACTTGAAGCACTGAGAAAAATACCTTTGAAGAATGTTCAAAGGTTTTGAAAAATGCATTTGGGGGGCATCAAATGATGCAGGGGTAAATTACCCCTCCTGGAATCCTGTAGGAGCAGCTATTCATCATTTGTTCCCACAAAAAGAGAACGCCAGGGAGGATAGGGATCACAGCCTTTGCCAATCCTTGGTTTAAGAGTAACTTAGGCAGAGAGGAAAGCACTTGTTGCTGAAGCAAGTGTGGAAATCATACATATTCATACCCTGTCCAAAGGTCTGCAGCCACATGATGGGAACATGGCTTTCTCTAAGATCTTGAGCATAAAAGCTACTTCATCACACCATGTCAAGGATGAAGTCAGTTCCATTGTACTCAGTATTCAAATTCAGCCTATGTTTTGCTAACTTCTGAATATCCAGATAAAGATAATTAAAGATAATTTGTGTGATCTTAACCTGGAGGGGAGGAAGAACAGTGTTACAAATTCTCTTGAGGACTTAAAAAAATACCTCCACAAGTACTGACATATCTTTACATACCCAGTGCTCCTGTGATAATGCTAATGGTATGAGGGAGCTTCATTTAAGAAGCAGTTGTGAGGGACCAGCCAACCACTTTGCTAAAGGAAGGAAACACCTTTTATTGCACTTTTAAATACATATGAAAAGAGAGGGGGAGATCTGTCACTCTCACAACAGTAGACAACCTATTATTTACTGTTTAAAAGAATGAGGGAAGTTAAGCACTCTTCCAATAAAATGGCTAATATAATATCCCTCAGGTGGAAAATCACCAAAAAAGTTTATCTAAATTTGCTATATGAAAATGTGGGTGGCAAATTGGTAAGAGGGGGCATTTCAGCTCAGCCCTAGCTGTTGTAAAACATTAGTAGGTTTTTTTGTAAGTGTAATTTTTGGAAGAGCATTCTGGAGGTTAAATTTTTGCCGCATTTGGATGGCATAAAGCCAAGTGCCCCAAGCGAGGCAACCCAAGCCTTGAACCTACATGTCACGCTAAAAAGGCTTGTGTATAAGATATCTCTAGTGATGCTTCAGCTGTGTTTCCAGCTGCTCACTCAGCTTACTTGTGCGGCTGTATTGGTTTGAGACAGAATGAAGACCTCTCTATGTTAAGTGCATTAGCATTAAACTTGGCCCTTGCAAGATACATTTCCCCCTGCAGCAGAACAGCTCATCTGAACAATGTAAATTAATTTAATGCCTCATTATTAGGTTAATGTGGATCATCACATAAACAGCTGAGCTTAGTAATTCATTCATATTTTTGTGTGCACAGGCACGCATGCCATTCACGAAGGCTAACGTTTGAACTCTACTGTAATTTTGCTTTGTTTTCTTTTCTTTTAATAGCATTTAAAGTAGCTAAAGTAGTTTCAGATCTTCTTTCTTTAGCACTAGCAAATGTAATTTACTTCACCAGTGCTCTCTGTTCTCCACTCCCCCATTCTTTATTTTACACTAGTCTCTCTCTCTTCCCTCCCTGCTCTTCATTCCTCTGTTCCAATTTTGCTTACAGTATATCGCAGAAGTGAGTACACCTCCTCACATTTCATAAATATTTTAGTATATCTTTTCATTTGACGACACTGGAGAAATGACACTTGGTTACAATGTAAAGCAGTAAGTATACAACTTGTATAACAGTGTAAATCTGCTGTCCCCTCAAAATTACACAACACATTAAGGTCTACACCTCTGGCAACAAAAGTACACCCCTAAGTGACAATGTCCA